TGTTAAAGTAAAGTTTAATGAGCTGAAGAATAATACAGTCTGCCTTCCTAAGCAAACTACATGAAAACTATTTATTTTGGTTTTCTTTTAATGGAATCAAAACTATTGTTTTTGACCCGTATGCTCATTTGATACTTTCACATTTAAGGCATGTCTTTGCCAAATGTCACTGGGGGAAGGGATATGGCCCAGCACCTGCTGAAGGACGTAAACCTATGCAAATTGTTGGAACTTCAACTTGAACAAGCTCTGTCTTCACACATCTCATATCTGTAGGATAGCATAGCTGATGAGTTAATATGTCAGTTAATCATTTTCCTTCACTGTAATAAACTGCGATAAACATTTTCCTTCACTGTAATAAACGTTATAGTACTTTGCGGACTTCAGTGAATAAAAGTCTGCAGTTCCACATATGTAGGAGGAAATTCTTTAATAAAAACAGTTTTTATGCATTGGATTTTCTGAAACTGCTGAGCATTTGCAGTGTAGCCAGTGGATCTGCTTTGTGCCTCAGCTGGAACCTGAGTTGACACCTAGGCCTTTTCTCCCTGGAGTTACAGGAGGTAAAAGCTTGGTATGTACCTACATTTGTAACTGAGCAAATTTCCCCAGCTGACCCAAGAATACAGTTGGCTTCTCTCATATGCAGCTGCATGCAGCCCTTAGCCAAATGGATGGGTCATCATGACAAGGGGCCTCTAAAAGGAGAGGAGATGGTAGAGAGAACTGCCAAAGAGCCTCCTTCAGCAGAGCAGAATGCTATAGAGAGTAATGTTAAGTGCTGCTGGTTTTGAATAGCAAAAGTCCAACAGAAAACATCAAGTACAAGAAATGTTATTAGTCAAGATACTTATATATTCTTCCTCCGAAGATTAAAGAAATTATTTTCAAAAGGCTAAGGATTTACGTGCAATAAAATAGTGAATTCTAAATAGAACACTGCAGTGTAAAGTATGGGGAAAGAAAAACCAACAAAAACAACCCGACAACAAAAAAGCAATGTTCAGGGTGCTAATGAGTTGTGGTTTTAATATTCACTTAATTGTTGGTTTTGGATTTCACTTATTTATTTTGCTGCATAAATCCTGAGCTTGTGAAGATGGGTGATCTCTCTAAATATATTCCATGATGCACAAGTAAAGAAGGCCCTTTCTTCCTGATGATATAGATCACATGCATCTCCAGAGAGAGACAAAATGGCTCTGAGGCTGCTGACTACTAAACCACAGGTTCCAGAGGCCATATAGGCAGCAGCACCTTTGAGTCCCCTTGTGCAAGCCATATTTATTTCATTTAAAAACTCTTCTCTACTTTAATTGTTTTAGGGCTGCTCTTCTTCACTGAACCCAGCTTAGAGGGTGAGATTGAAACTCAAATGCTTTTAGTCCAAGCAAAATCAGAGATGATAGTTCATAAAAGAGGATTTATAAGCTAAATATAGTAGAACTTATTACTGTGGTATCTCTGAGGCAATAAATACAAGAGTTCAAAGTCATTTTTTTCAGCAATTTTAAGTTTTTTGACTTACTGTCCATCCTATAAACCCAGTTTGGAAAGGCAAGATGATGCATCTATGTTTCATCAAGTTTTCTAAAATAGGTGTAGCTTCACAGCTGTAAATGAAGCTAATCTGCTTGTGTAATTGTATCCAATGCTTCAAGTTTGCTGTTGTATTTACCTGCATTTTAGAATCTCTTAGAAGCACCAGGGAAAGCAGACGTTAGTGTTTGATTGCTTTTATCAGACCCCAGTTTCTCAAAGCAGACCTATGGTTGTCTGGTAACTGAAGGCTGTTCTCTGCATACTGGTACACTAAATTCCTTTGGCTTATGCTTCTCAGTCACTTGGAGAGCTCTTGCAGAAGGTATAAAAATGGTGTGGCAAGAATATCCTTGCTCTCTCTAATTGCCAAGCTCCTGGGAGCCACAGCCAGCCATGTGTGGAGGTAATGATTGAAATGTGGCTCTACAGAGAAACTGGTTGAAGCCAGTATCTGTAACTTTTTCAGTTGTCTTAATATAAAACCAGCAAATAACAATAAACAAGCAACAAGCAAAAACAAAACAAAAACAACAGTTAACATGGATGCAGTATGCATTTTAAGTTTTGAATTAAATTGACTGCAGTTTAGTTTGCTGATGTGCCCTCTCTCATCTGAATTGTGTTGTTTTTCTTTAGTTGCTGTGTCAGTGGAATATGTTACTGGAGTGCTCTGTGCTGCTTCTGGGGAAATGAGCGGCTCCTTTTGTGTAATTGTGGTGGTTCAGGTGGGCCTTTGGACAGACAAGGTCAAATATGACGAGATAAAAACCCTTACTGAAGAGGAAGAATGTAACTGTTCCATAAAACACAAAAAGCTGAGTGAAAATGTCAATACATTTTTCAGAGTTGTTTTTTCCCTGTTGTTACTGATGCAGTAAAATAAGGACACTTACTTGAGCAGATGAGTAAATTAAGAAATTACTCTTCCTATGTTCCCTTTGTCTTCAAAGGTAGAGTGGCTCCTTCAGACATTGACTGAACCATAACTTAGCCATTCAAAACAATCCTTATTTTGCTGTAGATTTAAACTCTTTTTGCCTTCAGCTCTAAATGCTTTTTGTGCTCTATGTAGTATACATGTCAGATGGTGTCCATCTATGTAGGGCTTCTGCATTGAACAATTTCCTCAAGTAACTTCTGAGATAATTATTAAAAGATAAGGATAAGGTAGAGAAATAAGGATGAGGATAAGGTAAAGACAGTTTTAAAAATATTTCAGCCGTTTCTTTTCTCTCCCTCCCTATTGTAAGAATATCTGATAGGGGTTGTTCAAGATGTACTTTTAATAGCATTTAATTCTCTCTTTGCTGGTACACAAATATGCTTCTACACTTGTAGGTTTTTATAAGCTGCACATCAAATTAGTTAAATGAAGACGCAATGAGATGCTAGGACTGGATGTTATTTGCCTAGATATTCTACCTGTACTCAAATATGAAACTGCTGAACTGTCACTGGTGGTGTGATCTGGTGGTTGAAAAGGTTTAGAGGAACGGGAACTAGAACGTGATGTTGATTTAATATGGACTGTAGGAGAATGAACAGAACTACAGACCAGGCAGCTTGACTTTACTGGGCAAATGTGTAGAACTACTTAAAAAATAAATAAAAGGAATTGGGAGGCGCATGGGCAAGTATGTTTGGCAGAGGATCACTGCTGCTTTTGCAAATGCCAGTTTTCAAAAACCCAGTAAGAGTTTTTGATGGATTCAATGAGCATGAGAATAAGGGTAATCTAGTTGCTATTACTGGCACTGTTGTACCTTCAAACTAAGCCCCATTTCTTTATTAGTAGAGTTAACATAGAAATATACTAGCTAAACACGAGAATTGTGGCTATAAGTTTTAGGAATTACTAACAAATTTTAGAGCTCTGTGCTATCGTTTGAACTCAAGCTGTGGCATCTCCTGGATTACTGAAAGTGTTGATTTCTGGACCAACAGTGGATCGCGTGTGAATTCAGTCTTTCTCATGTGCAGAGTCAGGGAACTAAGCAAAATAGAGATTGTAGATTTGGAGCAAAAGGGAGTATTGAAATAAACTATGTGTTATAACGTAATGGATGTCATCCTCAGATTCCGCATGTGCTCTATTTAGTCTCACAAGGGTCTTGTGTTAGACTGTCTCTTTAGAGTATTTATTTTTATATCTTACATGGAGAAGGTACAAAAAATATTAATGTCAGCATATGTAACTGCCATGATGCGATTCCAGATTTCAATATCAACACACGGACCTAATTTTTTTTATTTAGATGAAACAACAAACTGCTATAATTTATTGTATGCTTGATTTACGTACTTCAGCATTGTCTTGATAACTTGAAACATTGGCTTTTCTTTCATAAGTGATACATTTTATTGTACTTACTTTTGTCTCAGATGCATATTTGTCTTGTTCACTGGTGCAAGTGGCCCAGCGAGCTCAGCAGCACTGGCAGATCCCAGTTCTATTACTGCTGTCACACCAGTACTAGAACTCTGGAAAGGGAAAAAGGTGCTAGAAAACAGTGGCAGAACGTATCCAGCATTACTTACAGGGTGTTTCTTGCTCACAGGAGAAGTGCCAACCCGTAGAATGATAAACAAGAAATATACAAGAATATACATCAGCACAAGTTTAACTGTGAATGTCCATTCTCTATGTAGAGAAAACAGAATACTGCAGGGTCCTAGGAAAAGAAAGCCTATCCATTTCCATAGGACCATCCATAGATTGAGGAGTTTATAGTATTGTGTGTTATCTTCCTTTCTTGAATGTACTGTGTTAAGCTTTCGTGGTCTTGAAAAGATTCAAGATGATCTTGTTTCTTACTCTAATATATTTTTTCAGTGTGTTCTCTTTCTACAGTGAGCAAAGTCACTGTTAGGCTGTGCCTGTATTAGACATTGTGCATTTAAGAATTCAGCAATATAGTTTTATTGTCAAATACCCTGGCAGCTGCTCCAGTCATTAAGTTTGGATCAGTTCCCCAAATAGAATAAGCCATATTCAAGGAAAAGAAGAAGCTTTTGGCAATACAAAGATTTCTATTCTATGGTTTTTTTGCCAACACAATTTTGACTGAAAAGAATGCAAGCATTTTTGTGCTCTTAGCTGACATAGATATACTAACTGAAGCCAATAACTGTAAATAGACTTTTATAAGATCGAGAGGAAGTATCACAATACTTCTGTTTGAATACGTAGACTGAGGTGCTTTACATGAAGTTTCTGAAAATTGAAGCTTGCTTGTCTGCTGTAAATAATAATAATAGACTGCAGCATTGCTTTTGTCTGAAAGCCTGTAAACAGAAAAAGCTAGATAGAATGTTTCAGTTGCGATCACTGGAAAACAGAGCTTCAGGTCAGCCAGAATTCATGCTGTGTTTGGCAAACAATTTAGTCACAAAAATGAAGCTTAAAGTATTTTTTATGTTTTTGAAATACAGTATTTTTATTTAGCAATAGCAACAACATTTGATATGAAGTCTGTAGTTTTAGCTTGATCAAATTTTTGCTGCAACTCAGAGTAGTATTCTTCTGCGGAAAAGACGCTGCACAGTTAGACAAATGTCCATTTTCAGTGAGGTGAAAATACAAAGTTGCTTTGCACTGGAGAACCAGGTTTCTACCTCTTGCTGTGAGGCTTAAGGAATATTTCATTTTTTCCTCTGGCAGGTAGTGGTGAAGACACCACACTGTAATGGGTGTTTTTAAAGTTTGTGTTACATAATTTTGAAAATTCTACTGCATCTGACTCGCCTTCAGAAGCCATTAACCATGGCAGTAATGTGTGAGCCTTCACAACAAGGGAGCAGGAAGAAGGCCGTATTTTCTTCACAATAAACACTTTGAATGTGGGTATTGCAAAGTGTCATGAACCAAAATCCGTGTTCATTTTTAACTACTGGGATCAAACTGAAATACTGCCTTTTAAAACAGGGGATAGCCATGTAGAGGTTATGTTGACAGTCATTCAGTACCTTAATGGCAACCTTCTATTTTAGTATCAATAGATTAGCATCTTAATGGCATGTAGTCTTTTCATTCTAGCAGGTAAGCTTTCCTATTTTTACATTGCCCCATTCACCTTTTTACTGCAAAACAATCTGGACAACCTCTGCTGGCGCACAGCCCTTTCAGACACAGAAGTCAGTGGTACCTGAGAGTGATGGAAAACTTACCATAGAGATAGGTGGACTGGATTTTCATATATAAAATGCTAGGATCTTCATTTGCTAAGAGACGTGATTTTTAAAGTAAACCATTGAGATAAAAACCAGAGTGTAAATACTGAAACTCAGTGTAAAAGGAAAGTACAAATGGATTATGATGCATCTGCAGGCGCCTAAGTGAAACTTAAAAGCAGAGAGACTTGAGGTGAAAAAAAATTGCCAGAAGCAGTGGCAAAGAGCTTAAATCAGGTAGGATTACAAGTACTTTGGAACATTTCTGCTGTAGACTCAAAGTTGTCATCTCTTTTCAATCTCAATATATCTTTACCCCATGCACTGACATGACCTTTTATTCAACCTAGGCTTGGATGACTTCGTGCTACCTTCCAGGAAAGGAACTGTTTTTTTGCAGCTCCTTCTTACTCGTTTTGAGAAAAGGATTAAATCTTTCCTCTGACCAAGCATACAGGCATGCTAAAGTGAAGCCACTTCACGCTCCTGGCCAAACAAAGAACAATAATACCCACAATAAGCAAAAGCAGATGGCTTCAGTGGCAGGAAATGAATGAGCCAGACTGCAGGTAAAATGGCTTTCTGAACACATCTCAGAGGTTTGTAATGACAGGTTCTTTGTTATCTGGGGCCTCCCCACTGGAGGCCAGATGTCTTCTGTTGTGAAAGGAGATAGATAGAGATGCTCTTCCTTTTCCTCCCCCTTTAACTTATGGCTGTTTAAGTTACTGCTAATGGAAGAAGAAGCCTGTTTTTCCCCCTTGCTCTCTGATGTTTTTGGAAAGAGAAGAGATAGTTAGTGAAGGGGTATTCTGATATGAAAGGAAAGGCCCAGAACTGGCCTTTACCTCCCAGTGACCTTCATTTTAAAGAACAGGGAGGTCAGTGCTGCTAATTGCACTTGAAAGGATTAACCACTTGATTGCTTTCATTTGGTGGAAAAAAAATATTCATTAATCTTAAAGTTGAAAAAATGTATCAGAGGTATCAAGACATTTTCAGTGTGAGGTTGATGACCCAGACGGTTTGGCTTATACCAGTTCTGAAATTAAATAGAGGATTAAAATCTTTTTGTAGAGGGGAGAGCAGAAGATGGGGAAGTACATCTGGTGCTCAGAACAGACTTGGAGCAGGAGTGATAACAACCTCCTTTCTCTGTCCTTATAGAAGGTTTTCACAGGAATATCAATATATTAATTATGGATATTAGATGTGCTTGTATCACTTGGTGTAAGAAGAACCTCAGTGTAATGCAAGAGTCACAGTAGATGAAAAAAAACTTGAACCAATTCCTGGATGCGGATTCCAGACTTAAAATCTTTTCTGCACATTGTTTTCACTTGGGAATTAAGAATCTATTTCAAAAGTGAATTAATTTTAATTCCCATTGCTCAAATAAAGTGAGGTACAGAAAACTTAAATTTGGAAGCCATTTTTAACCTTATGAAACTATTTTCTGAAAGTACCAGAGCAGCTTATATAAGCTTTTATCTGACCTCTACTTCTTAAATAAAAAAACATGTTTTCGGGGAAATGTGTCTTGCAAGTACCTTCCCCTCCCCCCAAGTTTTTTCTCTCTGGTTCTTGTAAAACACTGGGTCAGCGGGTTCATTTTATTTCTGTTTGCTTGAAGTGAATGAAAGTTTCCATCTCAAATTTGTGTGATTTAAAATCACTTCAACGATTTAAAAAATATTACAGCAATCTTCATAAAATAAGAACAGATGAAGGCGTCAATAAACTATCAGAATTCAAACCAAAAGAGATAGCATTAATCATTGTAAAAAGCCCCAGTAACCTCGCAGTAGCGGTAAAATGAATAAGAAATGCGTTGCTTCAGTAGCACTGAGACATGACTGATTTTTCTGACTGCTTGGTACACGTGAGCTCACGTCATTTACAGCTTTGCCATGTATGTGTGTATATACATATACTCATGCATATACATACACACATTTAAAAATGCTTTTTCTTATTCTGACTTCAAACCTATGCTTCTTGCAGTGCTGTTGTAATTCGCACACTTCATGTGCACTCATATAACTTAACTGGCATTTCTTCTTGCAAACGGAGATCGCTTTGGTTGTCAATTGAGATGGGGTTTTGTATGCATTCACTTATGCAGATGAGATTACAAATCTGAAGTACAACCTGCAGGGAGTATAGCTGTAGCTTGTTTAAAGCAATATTTACTTGGATTTCATGAATATCTTGATGCGTTAAATATCTACATACATATACAGCAAATCAGTTGTTTGATTCTGCATGGATTCCTGTGTAATAGTAAAAAAAAAAAAAAAAAATTAAAAATTACATGAAGTTTTTTTCAATGTAGTGTTTCTATGCTTACTGGGATATTAGGGCACTCTTCTGGAGAGTATGGTACAGATGATAATTTAGTCAGATTTCTAGAGTAAAATATACAACAAACTTTTTGGAACCTCTGTTAAAAAATGATCTATTATAGTTCTTCAATCTGTGTTACTTTCACAAGGTTTAGTTTTTTGCCAGTAAGGCTTATGAAAATATTCAGATGCATCCACCTTATATTCTATCTGTAATCAAATATATGTCAATATCTTAAGGCTGTACTTTTTACCAACATAATTTTATTTGGCAGAACAACCTAGAATGATTAAAAATATACATATTTGTACAATTTTGCTCATAAAATAATACATCCGGTACCTCTGCCAGCACTACCTTTACTGCTAGCACTTGGCAAAGGCACATACAATTACACTCACACATGATGACTCTGCCACAGTCCTATGCATATCAGGAAAAATTAAATCAGAAAAGACAGTCTTATTTATGCCGTGCAAATTTGCACAGTGTTGCAAAAGAAATAACACAGTGGATTCACACTCTGCTTAACTTAAGGAAGTCCTGTCAGGAACGCTGAGATCAGAAACACAATCTATCATATTTCTTGTCTCTGTATATTTAGCTTAGGTCCTGAAAAAAGATCTACAGTTTCAGGTAACTCCAAGTGTGCAATGAGTCCTTTCTGCTACTTAGAATATAAGAAGATGGCATCTACAAAATTTTACCATGATATCCTATAATGACAGAAGTTAGTGTTTGCCAAAATAATAATGAACTAACTTATACAAACACTTGAATTCTGTTTGAAGGAGTCTACAATTATCCAGGAAATTGAGAATAATTTTAATACAACAGTACATGAATGGTACTATAGAAATCATGCACTGTACAATGATATTTAAAGAGATCGCTTTTTGATTACAAGGACAATTCTTGGAGTCAATCATCAAGCATGTAATTTATACTCCATTTACTCAATGTGGCTTTTCATTTGTCCCCAGTCCTCTATTAAATACTGTCCTAATAACTTCAGGACCTTTTTGAAGTCATGTAACTGAAATCAATACTTCAGCACCTTTTTGAAGTCATGTAACTGAAATCAATCGGACTAGATAAAGCATATGAAACATCCAAAACATAAATAACAAAAGAAGCTAGCATGCAAAATCCTTTTTTAGAGTTAGATCCATATGGGACAAAGGCCAGCTTCTCCAATCCCCACCTGAAGAAATTCCCTGTGATTAGCAGATCAGGTTCAAACACTACAGTACAGTATTCAGTAAACTGTTAATTCTATTCAAATAATTTAAATCAGACTGCTCATCTGAGTAGTTCTGCACACATAAGGTTACTTTTAGAGGAAAGCCCTTAGCCATGACTAAGAGTACAACCTGTTTCCAGATTTCAGTCAGGTAAAATTACATTATTACAGTAGATCATAATTACAAAAGAAACAAAATAAAAGGTTGTTACCTATAGGTTGTCACTTATGGACAGACAGTTTATTCTTTTCCTGTGCCACACTTGGCATTTTTAATCAATGTGTACATAAATGAAAAGAAAAAAAGCAGATTATCATATTGTCCTTTGTAGTTCTCTTTCAAAATCTCCTGGTGATAATCCACACAGAAATAATAAATTGCTTCTATTGTGGAAAGGTACGTATCTGGCTTTCCTTTCTGATGACGCCAAAAGCAAGTTTTCCTTGTTTTCAATTCGATTTGTAGTAATCCTGTCAAGAACAGAAAATTGACATGGATTAGAGAAGCTCAGGGGTTAGGATGCCAAACAAGCCTTCAGTTGCTCTGGTTTTGGCTTTGCTGCTAGCTTGCTATATGCCTGCATGCAAATAATTTCTCTCCTCCATCTTCACTTTTCAGCTGCAAAATGGCAACAATATTTTCTTTGTGGTTCACTTTGAAATTTGATGGAACAAGTCAAGAAACTCCAGAGCAGAAAATTTTAAGTAATAAGTAATTATAGCTTGTGCTTATGGTAGTTAGTAATTCTATTGTCTTAGTACTGTGCCTGCTGTTATTATAACTATATTGTTAATTTTCTGAAGAGGTCATAGTAGCAGCTTGAAAATGCTGTTTGAGGCAGGAATTCCACCCCTCCCCCAATCTTCTGTATTCACAAATTTTATGAGTAACTTTCAGAGTTGGGTTTGCAGAATGGCAGAGGTTGGAAGGACCCTGAAGAGATCTTTGAGTCCCACCCCCTCCTACAGCAGGTTCCCTACAGTACGTCACACCGGTTGGTGTCCAAATGGGTGCTGAATATCTCCATAGAAGGAAACTCCACCATCTTTCTGGGCAGTGTGTTTTAGTGCACTGTCACCCAAACTGTAAAGTTATTCTGCATATTTGTGTGGAACTTCCTGTCTTCCAGTTTTTGGCCGTTGTTCCTTGCCTTATCACTACACACCACTGAAAAGAGTCTGGCCTCCTCCAATTGACTCCCACGCTTTCAATATTTATAAACATTGATCAGATCCCCTCAGTCTTCTGTACCCTGAACAGATGCAGGTTTCTCAGCCTTTCCTCATATGGGTGAAGCTCCAGGCCCTTTATCCTCTTTGAAGTTGAGGCAGAAAGGATTCACATACCTTGGATTTACCTTGTCTCTACTGTAGACCCCTGAATAACAAATCAACTTACAGTATTTTAAAAAGAATGTGGAAACTTGTGACAGAATTTCCACTTATTTGCATTGCGCTCTACACCTTTGATTTTGAGGGAAGAAGAGAGATGAAAAGGACAAGAGATTTATCAGCAAAAGAGGATCTAGGGAATTTTTATGATTGTATATACAGCTATTTCACTTAACCTTTTCTGTAGCAGTAACAACTTTTTTCTTTTTACCTTGAAGTCTTTCATCAGTTATTATTTTATTAGTTTGATTCCAGGTACTGTCAATAAATATTATTTTCTTCAGTTTAGTGCTTTCATTCATGTTGTTTGAGATGCATTCATTTGTATCTTTCTCTTCTGTAGCTTCTACTCTTGCTTTCTTAGGAAACGGCTCTTTGGAACAGTCATCATCAGTGTCACCAACACCTTTCCTGGAGTATTTTTGGAGATGGAAAGCAATGTCTTTTACTGAAACTGAATCGGGGCCGGGAAAGATAAGTGCCACCTAAATGAAGAAAATAAATGAGATCTGAGCAATATGCTAATGAAACAGTAGGAATTATTTAGTTAAGGAATAGAAACTTCCCCACCCACAAGCATTTAAGTCAGTAGAGAGGGAGAGTTTCTCTTTAAATATTAATATTTTATTGATGTATTTTTCTAATAGGCTAACGGATTGCATTAAAGTAATGAATAAAGATATTTCAAGATGTTTAAATCTGGCAGATGCTGACTAGGATGAGCAGAATACCCATCTGAGTATTTTTGGATATAACACTTCTTATGGTACACGGTATCACATTATCTACCACCTAAAGTGCTGGAAACAGAAAATTCAAGGTGCTTAGATGGTGCTGCAATATCTTCAAGCTTTGTAGGACAGACCGTAATTGTTATACGTTTGTAGGCCCATGCTTTAAGATGTTCAAGATGGAATGGACCGGATTAACAGAATAGTGCTTCCCACTCTCTCTCCCAGAGGAGTGGTATCAGCTTCAGGAGGGGAAGCATGGAAGATAGCTCTGTTTTTTTCCCAGCGCGAAGCCCTGTTATTTACATGGAATTTCTTACTTCGTGTCTTTTTTCTTTGTATTCAGGAATGCAAGGATACTTGTAAATTGTAACATCATCAGGTGCCAGGAGCTTAGCGTGCACAGCAGTGCTCTTGCCATCAGTTTCATTTGGGTGCTTAATAATGTCAATCTTCAAAGGTAACTAAAGCAATAAAGAAAAAAAAAATCATATAAAAACACAGAAATATACAAAAGCTTATACAAAATTCAGGATAAATCCTTATGCGCATGTAATTAAGACATTTTTCTTTCAAATAGTTTACAATTATTTTTTTTCATGTTTATAACTAAACCAGACACAAGTGACAGGAAGCACCTGTCACATTCTCTGACTTCACGTAAATACCTAAGAATGCAATGAATGCAATTTGGAATGCTGTAGCACTAGTGTGCTTAACAAAGCTCTAGAAATAGCATCAAATGATAGATAAGATATGGGCTTAAATTAAGCAATATAATGGTTTTAAAACATGAATACTCATCTGTATTACATATTCACCTTTGGTTATGGACAAATCATACCTTATTCACAGTACATTTTGTACAGGCCAGAATTCTTACAAGCTGAATGAAAGTAAATTTTTAAAAATGAAGTAAACTCACACTTATGAGTGACTTCTGATTATCTTCCCAACAATTAGGCACATAAACATTTATGTGAAGAGTGGCACACTGTCAGTGCCTGTGCATGTAATTTCTCAAATAAGAACAATAATTTTATCTAAATGGAATTTATTCATTCATTATCATTTGTGTTAAAAATTACTGTTCGTAAAGAACAGTAGAATTAGAAAAGAAATGATCATAGACCATCTTTTTTATGTCCCTAGAAACTAAAAGACACAAGAATATTATAAAAGATTCATAAGAAATATTAACCTTCACCACTGGGATTTCTGTGATAGGGACAGTTTCAACAGGAAGAAAGCATGTGTAACAATAAAACATCCTTGAGCTACTGCATCGTGGGCATTTTGATCTCCCACTTTTTTTTGCCTTTTCAAGTACTTCCTGTGACGCTAACTGTAATTTTTGAAGTGGGTTATCTTGAAATGGTGATGGAGTCTGCTGTTCTAGACTTCTTTTTGGTCCTTGAGAGTTTTCTTCATTTAGAATTGTAGATGAATTTAAAGACATGGTTAGCTGAAAGAGACAATGTGATTTACCTGTAAAACAAAGATCCATCATAGTATAATTATAAAGAGATTATTCTATATGATCCTACCTATGATCCTATCAACAAATGTACTTCCTATAACAAAAAATAGCACAATCATCTGACCCAGTTATAGCAGTACCAAGAACTCCAAACAGATTTCAGGAACCAGACAGAACTTGAGATGTCTATTCTTAATGCACATATGCTCATCCTTTTACCCAGATAACTCAGCCTTTTTGGTTTTTTTTTTTTTTTTTTTTTTTCCCTAGGGGCAGGACCTGTGTCTACAAGGTAACAGCAGATACAGGGTACCTGCAGGAGCAGTCCCATCAGTTTTCAGCATGGCTACTAGTAAGGAATTAAACGTCTACAGACAGAAAGCTGTAAGATCTAACTGTAACTAGACTTCAATCTTTGTGCTGCAATGTATTGTGCACAGGCAGGCAAACAAACTAAATGAAATTCTTGTTGACAGAGCTTTGTGAGAGAAAGGAAATCCTCCTGGAACAAAGCTTGAGGCTAGATTAACGCTTCAGAAGAGCGTTAAAATAGGGCTGTGGCACTCCATATAGTAACTAGTAAGCACTGACAGTCTAAAATCATCCTGCAGGTGAACATTTGTTCAGTAACACTGACGGAGCGGCCTTTTTGCAGGCTTTCTTCACAACAGACTCCGCAGCCGGTGAGAGCTTTCTGCTTTCAGTAGCTCTGCCTGCCCAGCCGGGATCACTACAGCTGTGCCGCAGCTCCCGGGACGCTGCCTGCCGGGTCAGTCCCGCCGCAATTCAGCCCGTGCGGGAGGAGCCGCCTGCAGGAGCTGCGAGCTGCCCCGCTTCACACGAGAGCAGTAATCCCCGTGTTTACTTCCGGCTGACCGAGATGTCTTTCGTGTCGGGGATCGCACTGGAGAAGCGATGTAACCCAACGGCCCGCTTAACGACAGCAAACCAACAGCAATTCCCCAGATGTGGTCCGAAGGGAACTGTTTAGATAAAACCGAGCGCAATCTAATTGGAAAACAACAAAGATAAAACGCTCAGCAAGCTTTACACTAGGAATGTAAAATAAATCCCGGATAAATTAAATATTTGTGCGTGCTTCGATACCTCTCCCTCCCGCAGCGACAAGCTTTAGCATTTTAAAGGCCAGGAAAACCCACTGAACAGTCAAATCCCAAGGCGCGGACAGGTTCCTTGCTGCGATCTGCTTTTCGGGAGCTGGCAGCGAAAGGCCGAACTCGGCCAGCGCCGCAGGACAGCGGGCACAACTTCCGCGACGGCCAAGGCCTCCGCACAGCCGCCGGCTCCCGCCGCCCGCCCGGCCCCCGGCCCCGCCGCGCCTTCGCCGCGAGTCGCGCAGCTGCCGCCGCTCCTTGCCCCGCCGGGCGACTCCCAGCGCGCGCCGCGGCCCCGGAACGACCCGGAACGCCAAGGGCGGGCTGCGCGCCGCGGGAGCGGGGCCGGAAGGACGTGGCGGCATCGCGGTTTGGCGGGAAATGGTTGCTAGGGGCCCTTAGCAACGGCACGCGGCGGCCTGCAGCGCGCGGCCGTCCTTCCTCAGCTCTTCGGCGTTTCCTGCCCATTTTTTTTTTCCACGCAGTGCACGTACCGCCATGCTTACGGCTCACGCCGAGGGCTGGAGAATTTCGTCACGGTATTTCTTTGTTGCTGCTGCTGTTGTTTTTCATCTCTCTCCACAGGACTGCAAGGTTCTCCACGCAGCTCGGGCTGAGTGAGGGCACTGCCTGCTGTGACGTCCTGTGGTCACTGGTTTCATTTTTAAGCTGAACTGCCTGTGCGAAAGCAGTAATTTTGGTATAGGAAATATTTATCTTGGCTGAGTCAAAGGCAGTCTGTGGTGTCTTAGTTGCAGGAGCCCTAGGGCACGAATTAACATTTCTTACATCTTGTTCATGCTTGGAAGTAAGAGTGTAAGTTGAGTTTTTAATTACACTCAACCTGGGATGTGCGAGTCGACTGACTTCAGTCAGATTTCTGCTCATTCACAATCCTTGCGTTGCTTCCAATTGATAAACAAAATTGGAACATAAAAGCAGAGCACACCTATTTGGTGATGCAACTTTCACATCTTTTCTTCGTATATATTTTAAAAGTACATAAGTGATATAAATATCTTGCTACTTTGCATGGATATGTCTAGAGGAAAAGGGAAGTTCTGCTTTTGTGATTGTGTCTTCTTTAGCATCTTTCTCAACATTTAGGAATGTGATTCTTCTGTTTTTTGTAGAAATGACTACGAATGAGCTGTGTATAAGCTACAGTGATTGCCTTAATTGTAAGTTTCAATAATCCAAAGTTTAAATGTATGCTCAGACGTGTTGTCTTATGGATTTTAGGGCATTCTGGTGAGATCAATTCTTACTGTGTGTCAGTCGAAAATGGAAAAGCCTCCTTTGACTTTTGAAGAATTCCTACGGTCTCAAGACTTGGTGAGTCTGACTACTTGTTATTTTAATAACCCATGTGTACAATGGAGTGAACATGCAGAAGTGGGATCGTGAGCAAAGCCATGTAAATATCGAGAACTGAGTTTGAACATGGATTGTATTTCCTAAACCCTCAGGCACTGGAAACTAAGAGGTTTGCAGCAATGGCAGCTCCTCAAGAGTGGCCTTGTTGTTAACTTCCTTTTTCCAGAAAGGTAAACCACTGAGAAAGTTTTTGTCTGCAGTACAGCGCTTTTGTATTGTTGGAAGCATGCTTGAATGATGATACTGACCCAAGCTTTGTTAAAATATTTGATCAGACCACAGCATTACTAACATAACACAAAGTGCTGAACCCTAAGGCAAAACGTGCTTATGAGTGTGGCAGGGTGAACAGCTAGCTACTTTTGTTTCTTTAATGAGGTTGCTTTCTTTTCTTGTACTGGGAAGCATGTTAAGGGAAATCTTTCAATAGGCTTTTGTATTTTGTTAAATAATTTAATAGAATGTGAATACCAATGATTCCTTGAAATTACATTATTCTTGAAGGAAACAGAAAATTTCTTTTGACCTGCCTACATAATTTGCAAGTATTGACTCACTCAAAGCCTCTAACTGCAGAGCTATGAGGAAAATAATTCCTCTGCACTGAACCAAAGCTTTTTATCTCATGTAAACAATGAAATAAAAATATTTTAAAATGTTTTGTGAAGTGGAACATTTCATTATAAGAATTTAATTTTTACTTAGGGACAAATTATTTGAAGAAACAATCTGATATAAAATTGGAAGCGTTATGATTTTTGATGGAAACATTATAATTTTGAATAATATCAAAACGAAATATTAATATATTTTAGTTTTCCACTTGGTTTTATTTGTTTTTTCCTTTTCTATCCTGAAATGCTTGTATGTATTACTGGTTTGCTCTTCATTTGATTTGGCAGGGAGAAGGGAGAGAATAATTTGTTTTTCTGTCCAGCTATTATGGTGGAACATGTCCTTGTTTTTCAGCTATATTAGGGATTTTAAAAACAAATTGATCGTTCCATATTAACAGTTGCAAAGTTGTTTCAGGGAAGTAACCAATTTGATGACTTACTTCAAATGACTACCATTGGTTTCAACAGGTTGTTCAAATGTTTAAGCTACTAGTTTTAATTCTTCACTGAGCAAGGAGCAATTTCTTCTTATGCTTCCAAGGCTGTTCTCAACAGATGGAAGACATTACTGTCCTTTCAGAGAACTTAAACTGCACATGATTTTATTTGTCTCTTTAGAAACATAACAACCCTTTTTTTCCCTGAGTTATCTCTTTTTCTAACTAAAAAGTTATAGTCCTTTTAATTGCTCTGCGTACGCTATAATGGGCCTCCTTGGCCTATGTCTGTTTTTCCCTCTTTTTGAGATGATATAATCATCTCTGAATGCGGCACATGGAGCAGCAGGAAATTGCAGTCTATGTTAGCAACATTGCCAAGATCTGACGTTCTTAAAATGTGTAAGTAAAACGTGCTTACACTGCTATTGCAACTCTTTATCCAGAATGAATTTCACAGGTTACCAAATTTAATCTTTCCTTTTGTCTCGTATTCAGAAATAATTATTTTTTTGATGTGTACTGATTGCAGAAGGACTGGCCGAGATATGTCTGTTTGGATGAGCCTTATTTGGTGGATAACTTAAGAAAAGACTGTTCCTTCAGCGCGGTCGCTAAGAGGCTGTGTGAACATGCTCCACTGACCGTCAGTTCGCTCTCAGATTTTGAGAAGAGAATGAACACATGCCTCGTTGAACTAAAGAAACATGCTGTAAGAATCTTTTCATTACAGTGTGGACCAGCGTCTCTAGAAGAACAGCTAATTGCCCCTGAACAGAGTAATAATCATTTATTATTTTTAAAGTAGAAAATGAGAAAAAAAATCCTAGTGCCTTGAAAAGATGTACAGAACGAGTGATTTCTGCCCACTTCATGGTAACATTGTAGAGTAATAGAAAAAGAAAGAATGTAAATGTACATAGAATTTGTAGGTTTAGAGTTTGCAAAATTCCAGAAATTTAAGTAAAGTTAACGGTGCATGTTTGAAGTTTCCTAGGTACTATTTAAAACAAAGCTATTGTTCCAGAGAAGTGTTTACAGCTTTTCCTCATTTGCAAGTACGAAGTGTCAATTTTATAATTTAAAAAATCTAATAAGCTGAAGTCCCAGTTCTGGCTAGAACATAGGAATGTTTTGTTTCAGACCTAACAAAGTGTCTACGAAAATGTGTTCTCCACAGACCTTGGTGTTGTAAAGTAAGGGTGAGAGGTGTAGAAATACAAAAATGGTGATTGTCAAGTCTTCCAATCCATGCGGTAGTGCAGTAGGATGATGCAGCATCTTGTTTTATGCATGCATGCATTTTGACATAGTTATGGATAAATTAAAAGCCTTTGTCTGATTAGAGCTTTTAGTCCATACAGTCATCAATCCAGATTCTATATCTGGATAAATTTACTAATTTTTTTAGAGAGATTCCTATTGAGCAAATTGATTCAGAGCTTCTGACTTGGGAAAGTGAGACGAGGAAAACAAAGGTATATTATGTAATTATGTATTTTTAGTTCTCTTTGTGGGTTAGATGAGGAAGACTAAATTTGCAAGTCTTTTCCTTGGTTAGAACTTAGATTACATTTACCTTTGTGTATTTTTGGGTGGGGAAAAAAACTAAACAAACAGCCATATTTGAAGTATTTTTTTCTTTATATCTCTAAGGGTATTTTTTAATATACGTCACCTAATGTCAGTTTTAGACGGTTGCTCTTAATCTGAATCACACTCAAAGTTCATAGTATGAATTTTCCTAGCGGAAAATATTACTTACACAATTGTGTGAAATAACCTTTATTTTGAACTGTGAACTTAATAGCTTCCAGGTTGCCAAACGCATTGCTGAGGAGTCAAAGGGTTGAAATGTGGAGGTGAGCTTTATTGTGTTAATTACATTTTTAAAATTGCATGGTGTTCTTTCTTTAAAACGTATTTTGAGCTGTAAGTCAAAGAAATACCTCTGTTACCAACCCAAGGGAAGAAAAACTGAGATCCATTCAAGATTCAATGTTAAATTTTCTAGACTACTTGAATTTAGATGTATTGCATAATGGAAATTCCAAATACAGTATAAATATACTGGGTAGTTTTATTCATTTGGTTTTATCATCAACTGTTGGGAGTGTTGTTTGTGACTTTTCAGTAGGGAAAGGGGACTTGAAGAAAAGATGTCTGTCATAGTTTGGAATATCTTGACTCTGGTATGTCTTGAATGATGGTTGGATGTTAATCGCAATCAGGTGCTTTTTTTTTTTTAATATTAATGTGAATACTCTCAGAACTAAGCCATAAATTACTAATAAGCTAGTGAGTTAATATGCTGAGTGATGAAAAATTACAGACCATACTGTATTTGTTATTTGGTCTATTAAAACTCAGCTAAAGGTTCTGTTAAAGAAACTACTGAGGCATGTAAATGTAACAAATTCTTTTAGATTCTTGTGGGACATCTTGGAACTATAATAAATAGAAAGCATGGTTGCTCCTTACGTATCTGCTAATGGGGTAGATCTCTCAAAGAGCTTGTGCAGTCTTCATCTTTGAAAATTTCAAGACCATGCAAGATCAAGCCTTGATTTAGCCTACGCTCTTGTAATATTGGTATCAGTTGGTAAGACACCAAGTAACTATGGTGGTAATACAGACAATGTACATTCTGCATTGGACACTGAAGGCCAAAGAAAATACCTTAAATAGTTCAGTCTGCTCATTTCAAAGCAGTGCTACTCGCTAGGTAGACTCTTGCACATAGTGTAATGTTGAAAGTCACTGTATGGGCTGTATGGCCAGACAGAAGTTTGTACTTGACTGGAAACTGATACAGGAGCAAATATGCCAAATATATCCAAAATGGCCAAGAAACAGTATCATCTCAAATTGAAAAAAATAATATGTATAGGTTAAAAGAAGCAAAAAGCCCAGCAAGTAAGAAAAATTGAGATGGGTTTACTCATTCTTTCTAACAGAAAATATTTTTTTGAGAAGTCTTGCAAGAAACAAAGTGTGTCGAAGATTGAAGTGATCATTTCATGTACTTTGACAGACTTATGGTAAAAAAAGAAAACAACTACCAAAGAAAGTATTTTTATAAAATAGAGTCACCAGCTCTGTTGAAGAATCCTTTGCAGGTTTTTTAATTTAGAAAAAAACTGCTTGTGAGTTTGAAAAGCTGTTTTCTCAGTGCAGCATCACATCAGGAATGTAATTATCAGCTTTAGTTACTGAAGATTTTTCTTTTCTTTTTAGAGCTGTAGTTACCCTGGTTTCAAAAACCAACTTTTAGAATTACGAAGACATTTGGGAGCTTCAAAACTTTAAGACTTAGCTATAAAAGAATGATGTAAGTATGTATTCTTTGCTTCAATATCCTGATCACAAGCTGCCAATAAAGAGTATTGCAAAATACGTTGACTCATTCATCTTTGTACAATACTGTACTTTCGTACAGTTTTTAGTATCACTATTAGCATTGATTGAAGTTACAAAACTGTCAGATCTAGGAGCTGTTTGATTTTAACTCATTATTGTTGAAGAATTCTTCTAGCTGCCCTGTCCTGTGTCCTGCAGTTGGCCAGTAATTAAGATAGTAAAACAAATAATGTAACATTCACATTGAACTTAAAAAGAATTTCAAAAACCAAGTAAGCGCAGAGTTACAATATAGAACATGTAATTTTTTTTACAGACTCCTTGGCCTGTGTGTTGCACATCATGTTGAATTGCATGGGGTTTTTTGTTTTTTTACTGTATCATTGACTCCTCGTATCTCATAGCACTCAGGGAATGGTTGAACATTGAGGACGAAGAGAGATGATTGCCTGTAACACCTCAGTCTAATTACTGCAGGAATTATAATCTTGTTTACGTATGAATTTGCAGCAAGTATGTAAAACACTTGGATGCTATTATGCAAATGAATTCCAGATGAATTTCTTGTGTGTGATCATATGCTCATACTCTGTAGCTGGTGGGCATGAACCTCGTGGCTATGAAATCTTGCATTAGCATATAAACAGGGCCTCACCACACATGCAGCTACGGTATGCTCATGTCTCACCTGGAGACATGAAAATGAAGGTATTCCTTATTTCTTTCATATGACCACAGAAGAAAAATGAAGACAGTGTTCAGGAGCTTCTTGGTGTCCTGTTAATTAATGGCTCTTTTTCATTAGGCAAAGAAAGATTTATTTGATGTTATGCTAATTCCTTCAGTATGTGTGCACTCATCTTTTGCTACTGATGAGGGATCCTTATTCTGTCTAAAGTTACAGCTTTCACACCTGCATCTGGAACTAAATGAGCCAGGAAAATTGCAGTTGATGGTTTGAAGTATTATTGTAATTGTAACCTTTCTATTCTAATTTTCTACTTATTTCAGTGGGAATTAGCAGTGTCTTCAAATTCTTTGGTTACTTCATTAGTGGACAAATGAAAAGGCATAGTCTTTTCTTGTGTGGCCAGTACTTTCATCCATGGTTGAAAAGATAGGGATAATTTAGAGCTTTGTCTCTGCTGTCTTTGTGATCAGCCTTAGATGGTGATCTCTGTTCCTGTAAGCTGTTAGTTGACCCAGGATAACATTTTCCTTGGGAAAGTCCATTTGTGGAGGTGAACCAGTGTCATTGTCACCACTGCTCAGGTGCACCACTCACTGCCTCGCTGCGCTCACGTCCGCTGTTGGGTCTCCATAAATGTTCAGCAAGTGTTGGTAAATTTTGATGGGTATAAAAACTTTGGCTATTTTTGCTTAAATATATGCAAACGTACCCAGATAGCCAAGTTACAAGTGATATCAAAATCCTTTTAGCACTTCTGCACTGGCTCTGGAACAACTTTGAATCAGTGCTTGTGTCCAAATGTCAACGGAAGTTTATCTGGTGCCTGTATCTGCTTTGTTGCTAGGATTAGTTACAGTATTTGTGCTCTTGCATTTTTTTAATTATGTTAAAATTTAAACGCAACAAGTGTGATTTGCTGCCTTATTAATTTTGTGTAACTTAGTTTTTGTGGTTTTAGCTCTATATATTTAAATATTTTGTGGTAAGTTTAGTGAAAATTAACTAAAAAAAATCTCAAAGAGAATAAAACAAAAAAGCATTGAAGAGCTGAGAGAGTTGTTGGGAACCAGCAAATGCAGATGTGTCCCCATCATTTATGATGACCTAACGGTGAGGTGCCCAAAGAATCTGCTTTTGTTCTCAGTAGAAGCTGGACATTTCCCTGCAAGCTTTTTTTACTTCAGTATTTCCTCAGTCTGAAAGAAGGCTCCCATTTTCTTCTGGATTGAGTTCCAAATGAAAACCCTTGCACTTCCTATCCTTGCCTAGTTTCAGTTTGTTCTGTGGTTTTAAGATTTTAGAATTGCAGCACTCAGCGCAATAAATATTTCATTGTTGCTTTGACAGAAGGAAGTTCTTGAAGTCTGGAGAAACTTGTTTCTCTCAAAATTATCTATTGCAACATTTCAGGATTTTTTTTCTGTGCCGGTTCCTCCAAAAGTGTAAGGTATAAATGAACTTGATGCATTCCTGGTCTGTTATTATCAAAGAAACAAGCTATAGATTCTTCAAGTTGGTTGTAGACAAAGCCCAGTACGTCAATTACAGATCCACGACTAACTGACGTACAACTTTAAGCAGCTGGAGTTGAACACACAAACAGCTAATTTAGTTAGCAGATGTATACCACGGTGCCTACAATAAGCATTTAGATCAGAGTTTTGTTTTACTTTGCTTACTTTGTGTACTGATGCTAAGACTTGCATAAGGTATGATTTTGCAGTATTTAGGTTAAGAATATAGATTAAAAATGTATATATTCTATTACCTCAGGTGATCACTGTGTTCTTTATTAAGAAGAGAAGAAAAATATTCAAATGGTTGGAGACTCCGGTTATATACAATGGCTTCCATTCAGTACAGCACTTAGATTCCATCTTAATTATTGGCTGGTGCACCACATATGCTTCAAATAATAGACATTCTTAAGTATGATTCTGAATCAGTAACTACTTCAGTATACTTTAAAAAGTCTGTCAATACAGTTAGAAGAAAATATTAGAGTAAGAGGTGGAATTATTTTAAGAATATATTTCAGTATTGTTTCTTGGTATTGTCAGCACCGCCCCTAACAGGATACATAAGGATGAGCTCTAATAATCTCATGCATCAGTATATTGGCTCACAACAGTATATGAATTTATGCTGATGCCTTCTTGGGTTCATGTTTCACCCTTTGAAGCCCAATCAGAAAGATCAGCACCACAGTTTGACAGAATTACAGAAAGCTTTGTGGCACTTTTTCTTCTTGTTCCCAGGGATAGTAAAGATGGTTGTTTTTTTTTCTTTTTTTTTTCAGGCAAATAAACATTTAGTAATTCCATTGGTATACAGAAAGATGCTGTATTTTGGCTCATAAAAGTATTAACATGTCACATAAGCAAATTTACACATATCCAGGTTGACAGTGTTTGGCTGCACAAGGGAGCTGCATGTATGTAGAAGAGAGAGGGCAGTCAGAAATATTGAGGGAATCTAGAAATTATCACTTCTTTGTCATGAAGTTGATTTTTTTTGGCTCATATAATGTGTGAATAGGAAAACAATGTTAAAAGATGAGAAATTTGTAAATTTCTTGTTTTTAATTTGCGACCATGATCAGCTCAATATCATTAAAGAATACTTTATCCTAATTGTAGGCCTAAGTGTCTTGTTCAAAGTATGTAATTTGTTTGAATCACTGCCCTCCAATTCCATCTTCTCTGGGAACTTTGATATTGGCTAAGCACATTATAGAGAAGTGCATTCACTTGTTGGTACAGCTGCCTACTGTTTCACACAAGTAATAGAAGGGAGCACTAT